TTCGGAGGGAAACATCATTGCAGACTCTGATATTGCCCGTACAGGCCCTAGACCCAAACTGGTTGGACTGATATCCGCCTAGACCTAACCTACAACTACTGGGCCTCTAAAAATGCCACTTTTGTCTTCTTCTGCTCGGCCTCCGGTACCTGCACATCTACCCCTTCCAGGTGCAGTACCGGCCTACCCGCTACTTGAGTGTTTTTCCCCGCTGCAACCCCTCAATGTAAGGCCACAGGTAAGTACCGGCCCTGAGGGCCCAACGAACGAGCAAGTGCCCTGACGGGCCACACACATACTCATGCCAACCAGCACTCAGACAGGCACGGTCACACACACACCCAAGCCAACCACACTCAAACAGGCATGATCACACACACACTCAAACCATCCAGCACTCAGTCAGACATGCAGTCCAGCAAGCGTGCACACACAGACTTCATAGCAAGCGGGAAACTCAGCAGGGCGTTCAGTCTATGGGCAGAACTCAGAAATCAGTTGTGTGTTTCAGTCCATGTAGGGACGGGTCATCACACTACTCCCCCCCCCTCAAGAGCGAGGTCCCTTCGAGCGAGTAACTCATTCTGAGTCCTCGACAAACGCATCGTAAGCGAGCAAGGCAAAGAGGTTCCTAGAGTACTCTGTTGCAGTGAGCCTTGCAGAGATCTTAGGTACAACGTTAGTGGCGATTTGTCACTTGTATGCTTTGACAACACGCGGTGCACTGCGTAGCAGTTCCTGTTTGGAAATCCAGTACAGATCGTCTAATGGGTGATACATGAAGTGAACCTGGTACTGTCTGTTGCGTCCCTTCCCTACGTGCTGTTTGATCCTGTCTATCTCATGCCCGCCTTTGATCACACGAGGGATCATGTCCTCGCAATAGTCGAACGTTTTAGCATCACGGTGGAAGTACAGTTTCGATGCATGGAACACGGGGTATGTGCGCGGATGAGCTGGCACATCAACTACGTACGAAGGGCCAAAGTGATCTTCACCAATCACATCCAAAACTTCCCAGGTTCAGACATCTTGACCCAGACATAGCTTCCTACCTGAAATCCTAGTACAATATTTGGTTATCTTTTAAAATCTCCTTTTGGAGGAGAAGGATGGATAGTTAGTGTAGATAACATGGAAGACGTTGTGGGAGGTCATGTATGGTTAGGTATCATTTGTATATTTGGTGGTATATGGCATATATTAACCAAACCATTTGCCTGGGCACGTCGAGCTTTTGTATGGTCTGGCGAAGGTTATTTATCTTATATCGATGGTCGGCGCTTCTTGTTCGCATGATGGATCATGGTGTGCTGTTGCTTGGTCATAGCTGCAATGGCAACTTTGAGCAAGCGATCATACTTGGCCCTGAAGCCAGGTCTACCGGGTGTTAAGCCAGCTGGCTGCTCAGGGAATAGGTAGGAGAGCGGATTCTGGATTTGTCAACCGTAATGCAGCCTGTTGGGTGTCATGCCAGTGGTGGAGCGGACGAAGTTGTTGTATAACCCCGTAACGGAATACAACTCTTCATCCCATGTTTCCTGATCTGGGATAATCAAAGCGCGAAGAAGTTGAAACACAGTCTGGTTGATCTCCTCAGCCAAACCGGTGGCTTCGGGGTGTCGACCAGATGTCATACACAACTTGATCCCAGTTGAGACGTGAAGTCCTTCCACTCAGTACTCATGAAGCGCGGATCCCAATCGCTCACAAGAGTCTTCGGGGTTCCGAACTGCAGAATGTACTTTTGTTGGAACTCACGAATCACTAGTTCTGTTGGGGCGTGAGGCGGCAAAGGGATCAGGTTGAGGAACTTAGAGAATCGGTCAACAATCACCATGACCTGTGTAGCCGCTCTTACTTATCTTTCCTATGTCGGTGAAGTCGATGGAGACGGACTCCTCGGAACCATCGGGAATGGGTAGGGGTGTGAGTAACCCCATCGGCTTTTGTCTGCATGGTTTGATTCGTTGACAGACTTGACATTCAGCCACAAACTTTTCAGCAGTCCCTTTCATGCCAGGCCAATCAAACTGTCTCAGCAAATTTGTGTACGTTTTTGCCATACCGAAGTGTCCGCTCCAGCCATGAGCCAAATCCAGAAAGTGCGTGCGGAGAGGCTTATGGTTGGGCAGACACAAACGGTCGTGGTTCCCGTACCGATGAAAAATCAGACCTCCATACTCGTGAAAATCAGGTTGACTGCTAGGGTCAGCCCGTAGCCGCTCAAGGATGGAACTCAACTCTGGATCCTTGGCGGTGTGCTCTACGAGCTCCTCCTTCAGTTTCTTCCGGAGGTCGTAGGATTTGACAAGGCAAGTCATGTACTCAGGGTGGCGAGACAATGCGACAGCGACTCGATTATAACAACCCTTTTTGTGTCTTAACTCAAAATCGAAAATGTCAATCTCATGGAACCAGCGAAGCAAGGTAGGGGCCAGGGTAGTTTGCTGTTTGATACACTTCAGAGTCTCATGATCTGAGAAGACTTTGAAGTGACGTCCCAAAAGATAGTGTTTCCAGTGGTCCAACGCCATACGCAAAGCATAAACCTCGCGCATGTAGGTGGAAGTGGCTACCTTTACGCTGGGCATGCGTTTGCTGTAGTATTCGAGTGGCCGCAAGCCATCGCTGCCATCTTGTTGCAGCACTGCGCCGGTTCCATACTGACTTGCATCCGTAGTAACTACGAACGTCAGTTTGGGATCTGCAATGCGGAGTACCGGGTAACTTACCAAGGCGTCCTTCAAGGCTTGAAAGGCGTTCACGCACGCGGTGTCCCAAGAGTAGGGAACATTCTTACTTGTCAGTCGAGACTGGACGCGCAACAATGGAGAAGCGGGGCACAAACTTTCGATAGCATGACGCGAGACCAAGAAAAGAACGATGACACTATCCTTCCCAAACTCATATTTCTCTAAGTTGAGATGGAGTTGCGTCTTCTTGAGGATAACCATTACTTCCTCAAGGTGCTTGAGGTGTTCCTCCATGGACTTGCTGAAGATTAGAATGTCATCGAGGTAGACCACCACGAACCGGCCAATCTGTTCGCGGAGGACTTTGTCCATGAGGCTTTGGAAGGTGGTCGGTGCGTTCGTGAGACCGAAGAGCATTACGGTAAACTCGTACAGCCCATCGCGTGTTTTGAACACAGTCTTGTGCTGGTCCGCAAGATCGACTTCAATCTGGTGGTAGCCAGACTTGAGATCGATCTTGGAGAAGACCTTGCACCACCTGCGACATCAAGCAAGTCATCTATACGAGGCAACGGATAGGCATTCTTTATTGTGATGCGGTTTAGACCGCGATAGTCAATACACATGTGGAGTTTGCCTCCTTTCTTTGGAACAAACAACACAGGAGCACCAAATTCGGATTCGCTAGGCTTGATCCACCCCTTGTCAATCATCTCATCAATCTGTCGCCGGAGTTCCTCCAACTCGCCAGGTCCCATTTGGTATACGTAGCCCTTTGAAGGAACAATACCTTCGACCAACTCGATGGTGTGTCGGACCGGTCGCGTGGGGACTCCACGTGGCTTGGCCAGAACTTCCGAAAACCGATCGAGAAGGTTTTGGATGTCTGGTGGGACAGGTGGGGGTGGGGGATCAGCAAAGGGATCACCTAGATCCGGTCGCAAGTCGCGTATAGAGATGACCGAATCTGAACTAGGATCATTTGGACCATTAGAGGGTAGAGAAATAGAGGTGCTAGAAGTAGAAGTACTAGAAGTAGGATCACTAATCGAAGAAGTAGTGGTATTAACCGCAAAAGTAGATGGCACATGGGTAGGACGAACAAAGGCAACATACAACTGTTCTTCCTCTTTGTGTTTGCGTCACTTCTTGCAGAATTTCAATGCATTCACAAAAGTCACTGGGGACTCGTGCTTCTCATCCAAGAGGACAGGAATCTCGTTCCCTCGAGCATCTTTGACCATGAAGAGTGACTCCTTCCACTTGGTCCATTCGCATTGGGACTGCAGCCAGCCCAAGCCAAGGACAGCGTCGAAGGGGCACTTGTCAAGGACATAGAAGTTCAATGCGTGTGTGACAGTTTTGTCCTTGTCAAAGGTAGTGCACACACCTTTGACTGCATGCGTAGAAGAGATAACTTCTTTGTTGCCAACTTGGGTCCGACAAGGGTTCTGCAAGCTTCATCCCCAAGCCCACCTTGCGTATCCCGTGAGGTGACATAAAGTTAGCCGTAGCACCATAGTCAACCAAAACACGAAGATAGCGGTGGTTTATGAGAAGTTTGAAGAAGATCAACTCTACTGTCCCCTGGGCACGCTGCTGTTTCATCTCAACCCAATGCTCCAAGTGGTAGTGAAAATCGATCGTCCCAGACTCCTCCCAAGGCTCGACATACAAAACGTTACTCACCTCAGCCTTGTGTTCAACAGATGATTGGGCTTCAAGGGAGGACTGCTGATCCGCCTCAGATTCAGTCTCCCCTGCTGTAGAGTTTGCTGAAATTGACTCTACGCCCGGTTCTGGTTTCCCTGCAGCCTATAACAATCCTGTACCTTTAGGTGGGATCTTGACTCCCTCGGGGAGTTGGACATAGTTCTTCCCTGCACTCCGATTCAGCCCCTTTGTGTTGGCAGTCTTTTTTAAGGCAGTAATTTTTTCTTCTTTGTGGTTTGTGTCAGACTCATGGGCCGAAGAACAGGTTGTATCAGGGTCCTGTTCTTGGTCGTCACCAAGAGTGGGGTCCTCTGCATCGGCTTCTTCTTCAGCCTCCAGCAGATCATGCACAGCAAAACGGTCACTACCTTTGAACCGCCTGTCGCCCATGGGCTTTTTGCTGCCTGTTGTGGTGACGAGGTCTACAGCCTCAAGACTGACTATGTCCTTCGTGAACCAGTCAGTGTAACCGATGAAGTCCTTGCCTAGGCGATTAGTAAAGTTGGTGGGGACTGCGCCTTTGACCACATCAAAGCAAGATTGAGCGGTTAATTCCAATCTGGGTGTAGCGAACATCTTGCTAAGGTAAGTCTGCAGGCTTTTCATGGAGCCCTTCCACTTGCTGCGCTTGATTTTGTCAAGTTGGATTCTTGCCCTTACTGCAACATGTGGATCCAAGTATTGCGAAATGAGGAGTTCCTCGAGGGAGGCAACCGGGGTGGTCTTAAGCCACCTTGTTAGTTCTATTTTGGGAATCCCAACTCGCGTAGCTTGGACCTCTAAGAAGCCCCGCACGACCGGCTCAACATTCATTCCCATGATCACAGACCGGGTCTCAGCTTGAGTCCCCAACACTTCGAAGTATACCCTCATGGAGCTGATCCAGGATTCGATGTCTTCTTTGCTGTCGTAGTTAGACGGTATTTGAACCGCCTTTCGGTCCACATAGGGACCGACGCGGCTGGGACCAGCACCTGCTGGTTCCAATCTTGGGGTTGCAACAGTTGCAGAATTTCCAGCCTCGTTGCTTGTCACAACAACAGCGGAATCTGCACCTGTTGCAGGTCCCGAGGGGGTTACCATCACATTCAAGGATGAAGATACAGTAAGAGAGGCAGAGGTAGTTTCCATTGCAGCTTTAGGTCCAGGGGGTAGAGGAAGAGGATTGGCCACTTGGGCTTGTCGCAGCTCAGCCACCTCCTTTGTCAGTTCATGGTACTTGCGGGTCATATCAGTCAGATCATCCTGAAGTGTTTGCAACTTTGCGAAGACTTCAGCGATCTGAGTGGTATGATCTTCAAAATTCCTGACTTGAACAAGGGCAGTGAGTATAGATTGCAACTGTTCCCCACACTGCTCTTCAGTCAGTGAGGGAACAATCTCTAGGATGACCACCTGCCTTTTCAGCAACGTCTCCTTCCTCTCCTTCTCTGCCTCCTGTTCCCTTTTGGTTGCACTATCTAGGAGTGCTTGTAAATACAGTTTTTCGGCATCACTGGCTGCATCTAACAAGGCCCTCCATTGCACTGAAATTAGCTGAGCCATTTTTGGACCGTTAGTATTGACAGGTGGGTCAGAGAGTCGCCAATCAGCAAAAGAATCGATTAGACTCTCAAGAGGTCCACTC